CATGTCTAGGTGATAATGGTGATGTATGGAGGGAGGACAGTGACACCATCCTGTACAATGTGACACCAATCATCACAATGACATTAGTGAAGAAGACAGCCTGGCTCCTCCATCCATCCCTCCTCTCCGATGACATTTTCTGTGGGGTGATGACAGGGACACGATGACACAACACACTGACTGTCATACAAAGTGACACAACAATGAATATGATACAATGTAACAGATGGGGATACAGTAGCTGCAGCCGGCGCTGATCTCACACGGGGGGGGGAGGGTCAGGAGGACTCACCTATCCCGGCCCCTGGCTCCGGGGGGATCCTCACCTCGATCCCGGGATCTCACTGCGGGATCACACCCGGAACTGCCGCACTCTCCTTTAAAGGCAATAGAGCAAAGTGCAGCAGTGTGCCGACTGAAATTACCGTGCATCGCCGCTAGAGGGCAGTGACTGAGCAGCGAAGCCGCCTACAGTCTGGTTATGGCGCTGTGCAGGCAGTCACGGTGTACAGATTGTATGTAGGGGGTACTATAGAGTGTCGAGACTGGTCGGTTATATTAGATGGAGATGGATGACTTTAGAAAGAAAAAAAAAAAAGAAAAAAAAATTATATATATATATACAATATTGCCCAAAGTATTGGGACGCCTGCCTTTCCATGCACATGAACTTTAATGGCATCCCAGTCTTAGTCCGTAGGGTAGTGTAGGGCCTGGCCAGAGAGGGATTACCAGGGGCGGACTGACAATTTATGGGGCCCCTGGGCATTAGGGGATCATGGGGCCCCTGGGCATTAGGGGATCATGGGGCCCCTGTGTCCTTGGCCAAACTCAAAAAAAGCCTATGAAAAAGGTACCAGGGGCATCTCATGGGGCCCCCTACTGACCCCGGGCCCTCGGGCAGTGCCCGAGTTTCCGAATGGTCAGTCCGCCCCTGGGGATTACTTTGACGCAGTTGGCCAGCTTAAACACGTATTTCAATGCATGTGAACTAAAAATCCCTGGTTATACAGAAAGTTTGCTAGAAGGGTGTATAGCAGTGTGCAGACGGTTCATTCAGAATTTTTAGTGATACCATGTGGTCACCCCCCTATTGCATCCGATGAGTTATATGTATGTATAAGATATTTAGATTTGAGCACAGGTATATGTTATTTCTATTACCTTTAGTTTATTTTATACTGAAATTTTTCATTTCTTAAACCGTGGCACTAATATCGTGACATAAAAAATAAAACTATCACTATTTTATTGTAAAGGGTGTCTACTGTCAGAAAATACACTATATTGCCAAACGTATTGGGACGCCTGCCTTTACACGCACATGAACTTTAATGCCATCCCAGTCTTAGTTCGTAGGGTTTAATATTGGGTTGGCCCACCCTTTGCAGCTATAACAGCTTCAACTCTTCTGGGAAGGCCGTCCACAAGGTTTAGGAGTGTGTCTATGGGAATGTTTGACCATTCTTCCAGAACAGCATTTGTGAGGTCAGGCACTGATGTCGGATGAGGTCTGGCTCGCAGTCTCCAATCTAATTCATCCCAAAGGTGTTCTGTCGGGTTGAGGTCAGTACTCTGTGCAGGCCAGTCAAGTTCCTCCACCCAAATCTTGCTCATCCATGTCTTTATGGACCTTGCTTTGTGCACTGGTGTGCAGTCATGTTGGAACAGGAAGGGGCCATCCCAAAACTGTTCCCACAAAGTTGGGAGCATGAAATTGTCCCAAATGTCTTGGTATGCTGACACCTTAAGAGTTCCCTTCACTGGAACTAAAGGGCCAAGCCCAACCCCTGAAAAACAACCCGCGCACCATAATCCCCCCTCCAACAAACTTGGCATAATGCAGTCAGGCAAGTACCGTTCTGGCAACCGCCAAACCCAGACACATCCATCGGATTTCCAGACAGAGTAGCGTGGTTCACCAATCCAGAGAACACATGTCCACTGCTCTAGAGTCCAGTGGTGGCGTGCTTTACACTACTGCATCCGCTGCTTTGCATTGCACTTGGTGATGTAAGGCTTGGATGCAGCTGCTCGGCCATGGAAACCCATTCCATGAAGCTCTCTACACAGTGTTGTTGTGCTAATCTGAAGGCCGCATGAAGTTTGGAGGTCCCTAGCTACTGACTCTGCAGACAGTTGTCGACTTCTAACAGTTGACCGTGGAATATTTAATAACAAGGACATTTCACGGATGGACTTATTGCACAGGTGGCAACCTATAACGGTACCACGCTTTAATTCACTGAGCTTCTGAGAGCGACCCATTCTTTCACAAATGTTTGTAGAAGCAATCTGCATGCCTAGGTGCTTGATTTTATACACCTGTGGCCATGGAGGTAATTGGAACTCCTGAATCCAATGATTTGGAGGGGTGACCCAATACTTTCGGCAATATAGTGTATGTATATATATATATATGTGTTTTTTTTTCTTCTTTAAATTGTTATCTGTTCCTCAGGTTTAGTACTGGTGACATCCTGACTCACAGAGTATCACGTGGACAGGAAATGAGGGTGAATCCCCCTACTGGTAATACAGGTAGTACTTGGTTCACAAATAGTGGTCCACTTATTTCAATAGGCTGCCCTACTTACAAGAAACACAAGGAAAAAAGTTCCAAACCTCTTTTTTTAAATCACGCTGAATAATTGGCACCCCTGTGCATTTGCTAAAGCACAGCTCATTCATTTGCAGGGTAGGAACGCACACAAAATCGAGCGCATTCCCCAGACCAAGGGCTTGTTCACACCTCTTGCAGTGTGGGAACACTCAGGAGATCACGCATTTTCCTGCACTGCACAAAAATGCGCTGCCTTCTCCAGACATGCATGGGTGCCATTATTTCTAATGGCACCCCCATGCATCTGGCACATCGCAGCCACCAAAACACATGGTATTTCAGTACCCTGCATTTTGGTGTAGTGTGATTTTAAAAGTTGCTCTTGGAATACTTTTTGTGCATTCCCACGCATTTGGAATGCCATTAAAATTAATGGTAAAACCAACTGCCCCACTCACAACACGCAAAAAAATGCATGTGCGCAGATGCACCTTTATAGTGCAAACCAACCTTCAGACTACTCTATGTACCCTACATGAGAGAAAAGGGGAAAAGTAATTCTGACACTTTTCCAAAATTGAACCGCACCAAAACGCATAGTGCTTTAGCACCATGCATTTTGGCACAAGCAAAAACATACACGTTAGTAAATGGTGGCTTGCCATTATGAATTAATGGCACTGCCATGTTTTGCTGAAGAACAATGTGTTTCTGTGCAAGTCAGGAAAATGTGTGATTTTAAAGGCAAATTTGTCTTTATTGTTTTATATAAAATTAACGAGCAGAGCACAGGAAATATAGAAAACAAGTACAAATCCAGTAACAAAAGTGTGTGATTTTATGCGTGTTCCCAACATGTACTAGTGTGAATCTAGCCTAAGAACCTGGCAAAACCTCTAACCTTACCCAACTACACCACCACACAGGAGTGTGTTCACACTCTCACCATGTCCAAAGGCAAAAGAAAGCAGGCGTACTGCAAGACATCTAATCACAGAGAAGTTCAGTCACGTTCACACTGGTGCAATTTGTCATGCTTCAGTGGTAAAACCACAAGGCATGACAGGAAGATACCGATTTCCTGACAGCTCCATGTCAGCACAGCTGGGTAAGAGCCCCAATCCCCACATGCGTCCAGATCCTAACCCAGGGGTGAGCAAACTTTTTGACTTGAGGGCCGCAATGGGTTCATATATTGGACCCGGGGGCCGGACCAAGAGTAGATGAATGATGTGTATGTGTGAATTAATATAAATTAAATTAAAATTTGTAACATTAAATGTTTAGATTAATTTAAGGTAGAAAAGCATAAAAAAAGTTATTTTACAAAACTTTTATGCCCCCCACTAGCTGCTGGCCAGCCCAGCCACTACCATGCCATCCATAGTAAGTATAGTAATATTCCCCCATAGTAAGCATAGTAATTAATCCCCCATATAGTAATTAATCCCCCATATAGTAATTCATCCCCCATAGTAATTCATCCTCCATATAGTAATTCATCCTCCCTATAGTAATTCATCCCCCCTATAGTAATTCATTCCCCATATTAATTCATCCCCCATATTAATTCATCCCTCATATAGTATTTCATCCCCCATAGTACTATTCCCCCCCAAGTAGTAAGCCAAGTCCCCCCTGTGTCAATTTACTTACCTTTGCTCCGCGCGTTCCTCTCGCGTGTTCCCGCACCGTTTCGGTCTTCAGGGCGGACTGTGAGAGGAGCCTAGCTCCCCTCACGTTCGTCACGCTGCCCCGTCTACACACATCCTGACAGCCAATGTTTGCCTGCCCTGGCTGTTTTTTTTTTTTATCACGCTCCGCGGGCCAGATTAAAAGGTCCGCCGGGCCGTAGTTTGCCCATTGCTGACCTAACCCATAAATTTGAGCCTACCTGTAGCCTCAGTGTTCCTCCTTTGTGCAGGACCTAGGTTTGCTGCTCTACTTGGCTGGTCTAAAGAACTGACTGGCCATCCATGCTTGTGGGTTTCAGGTGGACGTGGTCCCTGGTGTATTGGCTAAATGACCCATAGTCCAGGAAGCCCCCCTCCTGGTCCTTGGTGCAGCTTTTATCATGGCTAACAGCCTTGTCTGGGGTCTGCTGGGTCCATGTGAAGTTGTCAGCAGAGTCTCCTCTAGGCACGGACACCCGCATTGTGCCAGTGTTTACAGTCGATTGGTGGTTGAGTGAGCTAAATGTAAAAATGCTTTGTATCCAAATGAATGCTGCATTGCTGGTTGTTGTGCCTTGCTACCTGTAGCCGCTGTGCATACCCTGAGCTCCTCCACAGATGGTACTCTGCATAACAGGAGCACAAAGTAAGACTTTGTTCACACATAGCATTACCTGTTGGTGGCTTCTCATGTTTGCTTTGCTATTGTGCCATTATGCCAACACCCACAAAAGACCAGCATTTCCAGACAAGGTAGTCTTGTAGTCAGGGGCAGACTGACCATTCGAGCACTGCCCGAGGGCCCGGGGTCAGTAGGGGGCCCCATGAGATGCTGTTTCATAGGCTTTTTTGGGTGTGGGTGAGGACACAAGGGCCCCATGATCCCCTATTGCCCAGGGGCCCCATGAGTTGTCAGTCCACCCCTGCTTGTAGTAGATGACTACTGTAGACAGCATTGCCTGTTGGAGTATAGGCCATCCTTTTAATATTTGGTTGTGGTCTCTAGTTTCTCAAAAAAAAAAAGGTCTTTATGATAACCATTCCCTTGGATGGTTGTGTACATTGCAGAATAGTATTGTAATTCTGTTGCAGAATAGTATTGTAATTCTGTTGCAGATTCTAATCTTTTTGATGCTTTTCTTAACAAAACAGTTTCATCATGTACTGTTCTCTGAAAGGGCAAGGTTTGGTTCATTAACCACCTGGTGACTTCAGGGCTATGGTTGGAAGCTGAAGTATTGGCATTCCTCTAGCAGTGATTAACCCTTTAGGGTTTGTTACTAAGCAAGCTATTTCCTACTTCGTTAAATTATTGGGGGGGGGGGGGGGTAGCTGCTTTAAGCAGCAGGCAAAACCCTGTGAAAAGATGATCTAGTCTGACAATGAGCAGTCTCAGAGCTTTCCCAAGCAAAACAATCCTCTTTAGACTTTTCAAAAAAGAAGACACAGGTGAACATGAATGTAAGTGTTTCACTCACCCTGTGAAGGAGTTATGTGTTCTAACAATGAGCAGTCTCAGCCTTCCCAGGCAGAACAGACTCTCCAAAGGGGAAAAGACAATATGAATCTTGCTTTGTTCAAGCAACTACAAATGAGGATGATAACACCCAACAGTTGTCATATTCATTAAGTGGCCAATGCACTCAAAGGGAGTTGTTTCCACTCACCCTGTGAAAGGGTTATATGTTCTGGCGATTAGAAGACTCATAGCCATGCCAGGCAAGACCGCTTCTTCAGACTCTATGGAAAGGAAGAGGTGGATGAGCATGACTATGTATCCTGCTGGTTTAAGCAGCCAGGGATAGAGATGATGACTCCTAACAGGATGTCCTATTCGATAAACACATTGTCAATACACTAAAGGAATGGTTTCCACGTACCCTTTGAAGGGTTATCTGCTTTGGTAATGAGAAGATGCCTAGTCTTCCCAAAGCATCCCTCTTCAGATTTTCCATAGAGGACAAGGTGGATGGACATGACTGCATGAATACTGCTTTGTTAGAGCAATCAAGGATAAAGATGACACCTAACAGGTTGTCACATGAGGATAATACACTCTAAAGGAATGTTTTCACTCGCACTGTGAAAGGGTTATCTGCTCTATCAATGCGCAGTCTCCTAGCCTTCCAGGCAAACAATCCTCAGAATCTTCCAAAAGAAGATTCAGGTGAATATGACTGTGTGAGCCTTGCTGCTTCAAGTAGACACCTGACACTTTGACATTCATGTGGTCAATACATTCTAAAGGAGTTACTTCCACTCACCTTGTGAGGGAGTCATATAATTTTGCCAATCATCCATTTTAGAACCTTCTCAGTCAAATCAACCCTTGCCAGATTTGTCCAAAGAACATGTAGATGAACACGACTGTATGGTTCCTGTTTTAAGTAGACAGTGAGTAAGATGATGGTAACCGAGTTTTCACAATTAAGCATGTGGTCAAGACACTCTAAAGGAATTGCTGAATTCACCATCTGCAAGGGCCATCTATTCTGGCAATGTCCAGTCTTCCTTTTAGGGCCATTATAACTGGTCTCAGAGCCTTCTCAAGCCAATCAATCCTCATCGGTCCCTTCTGAACAAGAAGATGAGGACTACCTTTGTCTAGGTTGTTGATTCCTCCTTTTGTAAGTTTGATGAAATTCTTATAACTAGAAGCAAAGCTTTGGAATTGTCAAGCATCCTCCAGAGGATGGCTTGACAATTCCCTTATGGTGGCTGAATCAAGTGCCTTTTCTACAAGATTGGAACATGTTGTCACAGCAGGATGTCAAGGGTTTTAAATCAACCCTTTGGTCTATGTATGTCTTTTATAGGATTGGCCAGATACATGCCTTTACCATTAGAAGATGCTGTGGCTTTCAAGGTTGTACTCAATAATTGCATTGTTCTTGATCTTGGAAGGTGAAGTCTGAATTAATAGTGGTCAGTTGGACCTCCTGCCTCAAGATGAACTTCTTTTGAGTTAAAGGAGACTGGAGTTCAAGAGTCCGTTTCCACGCTCACTCCAGAGAGGGTAGCTTTTGCATTTCTGGCTGGGAGTCAAAGAAAAAGCCAGCACATAATCCAAGAAGTCAGCAATGATCTTCCTGTCAGGATGCTTTCTGGTATTTTGAGAACTGTGCCATTCATACATGTCTTGTGGTTCCTATTTGGACATAAATACAGCTTTGGTGACGGACACATAGTCATTCAAGGCAAGCATTTCTGGTCATATTTGGGAGATCTTTCACTCTTCCCATCTCAGATCCAGCAGGTCAGGTAGACTCAGTTGAACTCTCACCCCCCATCAAGTTGGGTTTCTGGACTGGTAGCAGTCAGAGGGCCTATGTCAGAAGATATGGATTATGCCCTGTATGGAAGTGAGCCAACACTTGTAGTTGGAGAAGCAGAATCTTTTGGGCTGTCATTCTCATCTGACGACCTAGTGGCTGGTGGTGCAGTAAAACACCAGCAAAGTAGGATTTAAGAACTCTCCAAGCGTTCAGTGACCTCATCCAAGGTGGACCTGTCCTGGTGAAGTTAGACAGCACAACGACTGTGGCCTACATCCAGAAACAAGGGAGCTCTTCATGTCTCCCTCCTGAAGGAGGTTTCTCTGACTATAGATTTGGCCCAAGTCAACATTCTGCAGCTATCTGCTGCCTATGTGCCCAGTCAGAAGAATCTTTAGGCAAACAATTTGTCCAGGACAATCCTGGATGATGACAATGTATGGCCCAGACTGCCACAAGTCTTTCGAGAACGAACGAGCTTGATCATTACTTCCAGAGGAAGACCTGTTCACATCCTCAATCAACACCAAGTTGCTTTCTATTCCGGGTTCCAGCATCCACAAGCAATCAGGGTGGAGGTGCTGATCGCAGAGTGGATCTCCAGGACAACATATCCCTTTCTGCCTCTCCCTTTGATTTTCAGCTTCCTGCGGCGGCTGTGGCAGAGGATGATGATAGTTTTGGTGGTAATCCCAGATTGGTTGAAGGGGCCTTGGTACCCTTTGCTCCTCCTAATGAATGCCAAGGATCTACTCCCTCTGCCAGTAAGATCGGATTCTCCAAAGTTACATTCTTCCAACACCTGGTTGTGAATACTCTCATGATAGCAAAGAAGAACAGCACTAACAGTGCCTATAGTAGAATATGACATAAATTCACAGGATTGCTGCTGACCAAGCTTTTACACTCGGCTCTTCACAAGTCTCACATTCTAAAGTTTCTGTAGGTTTGATTTAGGTTTATGCGTAAGTATGCTATGGGACTACATTTCATCTATCTCTGCTTTCGCCAGCATACAGTCGAAATCCAACACTTAATTATACTGTCCTTCAAGCTGCAACTTGGTTGAAACCTACCTAAGGAATTGTTTGCGAAGTGGGATCTCCCATTGATGTTGGACTTTGCTTGCATCAGATGCCTTCAATCAAAGTGGCCCCTTTCTGCACCTCTCACTGAAAACTACTTTCCTGGTGGCAATTACATAAACAAGAAGAGTGTCTGTATTAGCGGCCTGGGGTCAGTAGGGCAGTGAATGGTCAGTAGTTTCTATTTTTTATAGGTTTTTATACATTTTTAGGAGCCCTGTTGAAAGGGGAGCACACGGGGCTGGGCAGCAGAAAAAAAAAGGAACAAGGACAGGAGGGGCAGCAGGGGAGGCAATTACTAGAACTGATCCCCTTGATTTTCCTCCTGCAGCAGTTGTATGCTGGCTTTCAGCTGTTTTATGAAGAAAATAAAGAGGATAGTCGGAAGACCAATTTTTTAAAAATCTGAATTCCCAGCAAGTGTCGGGATTTAGATTTTACCCCCCCCCCCCCGGTACCCTAAGGCAGCTACCTAGGGGTGCCAGAGTAGCGGGGTGGTAAAATTCAAATCCCAAGTCACTTGCTGGGAATTCAGACTTTTAAAATACCTCTCTATGGGGGGATGGGGGGGGTTAAGGACACTACTGTGGGGGTGATGTTAAGGGCAGTAGAGGACACTACTATTGAGGCCCTGCCCCCCTCAACAGTAGTGTTCTCTGCCCCCCCCCTTTCCCCCATAGCAGTGTCCTCTGGCCCCCCTCCTCCCCAAGCAGTGTCCTCTGGCCCCCCTCCTCCCCAAGCAGTGTCCTCTACTCCCCCCCCCCCCCCCCCCTTCTCTCCCATAGTAGTGTCCCAAGCAGTAGCCTACCTATGTACATAGAAGAAAGGGTGGAAGGCAGCACAGTTCTGGATGGAGGGCGGGAAGTGAGAGCTGCCAGAGTGACTTTTCATAATAACAAGCTGGTGATTAGTTGCAAGGAATGCCCTCGCCCTCGAACACGGATTAACTTGAAAAATCAGTTTGGCCAGCTCCCCCTTCCACCCTCCATCCTGAGCTGTGCAGCCTCCCACTTTCCACTATGCACTGAGGATGACAGCAGCGGAGGAGGCAGGTGGGGGGGGGGGGGGGGTTAGGGTGGAGAAGAACCGGCACCTAAAAGGCGGGGGTCGGTGGCGCAGGGACCTGTTCAGTCTACCTGGCTTACATGGATGAGGCCATCCATTTACCACTGGCAGAGGTGATTAAAATGATCATCTTTTATTTATTCATGTAAAACCTTTATCCCAAAAGGAAACTATAACTGATTATAAAGTATTAGCTGGAGTTTGGCTTCAACTTGTTGCATTCAAATCTGTGAATACATTTAACACTTTAACACGTCCCCCCCCCCCCCCAGGCTGACAATGCTCCTGTCTGCTGTGTCCTGGCTCATTCCTCTAAGGTGGTGTCTCACTAATACAGGAGATGTGTTACTGGCCAGATCACCAAGTAAAAATAGAGTGAAAAAGAAAAGAAAATTAATGCAGCCACCTCATCTAATGATTAATATGCTGCAATATATTACATTTTTGGTTTCAGATGTAATACCACTTTCACTTGAAAAATTATCAGTGCAATACATTGAAATACAAGTGCAGTTACATGCATCTCCATGAGACGGGAGGCTGGCTGGAGCTGGTAGCTCAAGGTAGCTGGTCGCAGATTCACAGGGATTCTTAGGCAGGATCCACAAGGGTATGACTGGAGGAGTCTTGGGTCTAGAATTCTGGGGTGTCCAACCTTTTGACTTTCCTGGGCCATGTTGGAAGAAGAGGAATTGTCTTGGGCCATACATAAAATACACTAACAATAACTGATGAAAAAAAAAAAATTGGGCAGATCACAAGTTATTGATCAAATGATCACTGATCTAGATAATGTACCTACTGTACAGTATTTTTTTTTTGTCTTTATTTTCAAAGGTCAAGTAAAATACAAACATTGACCAGAGACATATGGTCACTTTGCTAATATAGTCTCTCGGGTGAACACCAACAATTTGTCCTATAACAAAACATAGCAAAGAACATTCATGTAGACTTATCTTGCTGATACTGAAATCCAATGAATGTCATTTACATTAGAGGTAGCATATGCTGCGATAGCTAACAAAGACATCATCCATACAGAACATACAGCAAATTGGAGCGATGCTACCAATAACTGGAGGAGTTGAGTAGGTAGGGAATGGAAATGTGAACAAGGTGAGAGGTAGGGAAAGAGGGGTACGGGGGGAAGAAAGGTAGGAGTGAAGGAAGGGGTCGTGAAGGTCAGTCACCCCTCTCTTGGGTAAGGTAAGGGAAAGGAAGACTTCACAGGAAGTTGGACAACTCATTGAGGTAGGTTTCGGTATATACAAAATAGTTCCAGGGTCTCCAAATGTCATTACACAATTCTTTTGTGTTACGCAGCCTGCCTGTAAAGTCCTCCATATCCCGAAGGTCATTGAATCTGGCAAACCTTGTAGGAAGGTCAGCATCTCTCCAGCAAAGTGGAATACAGGCCTTAGCAGCATTTAAGAGTTGAATATTTAGAGAGGTTTTGTATTTTTTGACAGGTCTCTCCATCAAGTGCAATAGTCAAGCCGCTGGGTTGTCATGTAGATCCACAGCAGTTGTTTAATGACAGAGGATACATATTGCCAGAATGGCTGAATTTTCGAACAAGTCCAAAAAATGTGGAGCATAGTCCTACCCTCTGCGTCTGTACCATCTGATGAGGATTTTGAAACCTGTCTCCTGGAACCTTGTGGCGATCAGGGGCGGACTGACCGTTTGGAAACTCAGGCACTGCCCGAGGGCCCGGTGTCAGTAGGGGGCCCCATGAGATGCCCTTGGTACCTTTTTCATAGGCTTTTTTGAGTTTAGGCAAGGACACAGGGGTCCCATGATCGCCTATTGCCCGGGGGCCCCATGAGTTGTCAGTCCGCCCCTGGTGGCGATAGAGGACTTTTAGGCAAATGGAGAATTGTCTTTCTCTGAATAGAAGACTCATGCCTAGATCGGATTCCCACTTTGTGAGAAAGGAAGGCATATAATCCTCCCCAGGGTGTGTCAAGGAGGCATAAAGCAGGGAATGAGAATGACGTATCTGTTTCCCCTATGGCACAGTGATTGAAATATACCCACTGTATCTGGGGAATAAAACTTAATTTACAAAAAAAATTATTGTTTATAATAAAAGTAAGAGGGGAACATAAACTAGTGTGATATTTGACACTGTTTTTGATAAACGCATCAATATCTGGTTGGATGGATGTAGTAGCAATTTTCACTGAATTCTCAAGGTGCACATCAGATATTTTGGTTCTAATTTTGTCCTTCATGTGCTTCATCCTTGAAAATAGTTGCTCACAAATACAGGTGCTGCTGAAAACTGATGACATAAATAAGGTGTGATTGTGAAGAGTGGGAAATTTTATTTCGGTTGCATGTGTTCACTAAGCGTAAACGCATTTTTACAAAAGAAAATCCAAAAAAATTAACATTTTTGGGTAAGTTTACAGGTATGTGTTGGGCTGCATTCATAGCCGTCTTGGGCCACACGTGGCCTGTGGGTCGCAGGTTGGGCACTCTTGGTCTAGATGAAAGTACCTGCCAGGGAGGAACCAAATTGTTCAGAGTTATAAAAAAACACAATAGAATATCATATGGCACATGGGTGAACAGAACAGTTTCAGCATGGCTCTTCATAATGTAATTCACACTATTCCCCAAGAATAGTGCTGCGCTGCCCCCTAGTGACCCAAAAAAATAAACTAATAAACACCTTCCTGAGCATCCAACCCAATGTGTAAATGAATAAATATGTGAAACAAAGTCAATAGTAAATATGAAAACTGGCTGAGCCACTAAATCCAAATGATATGTGAAACATATACAAAAAATAAATCATAATCAAGTAGCAATAAACACCTGGCCAACCTATAATAAACACCTGGCATAGCTGAAGAATAAAGTGCAAAAAACAGTAATAAATAATGTGAAACGTATATCAGAAATAAAACAGGATCACAATAGCAGTAAACGCCTTGCTGAGCTATAATAAACACCCGGCTGAGCTGAAGCATAAAGCATGAAAACCGAGAAAAACAGTATGAAATGATTGTAAAACAAATGCCCAGCTGAGCAATCAGCCGCCCAATGGAATAAAATAGGTGATAAATCAAGTAAATGTTCAACTGGGCTAAATATTCACAAAAAGTGCGTAATAAAAAAAAAAGATAAGCAGCTCTACTGAAAATATATACAAAAAATAGATAAATGGTGAATGATAGTTAACACTTAATATAGTGCAGTATGCAGCCCAAAAAGTGATATAACTGTCTCTTTCCTCCAGCATTTAAAGTAATGCACCAGTGACTTCAACAGGTGTGCAAATCTATCGTGCTGCCTGAATTTTCTCGGGAATTTGGTATCAAATCATACACCTATCTTCCCAGAGAGGCTGACGGAGTCCCTAAGGAGGGAGACAATTCTTCCCCTGTAGCAGTGGCACAGTGCCTCCTACAGGTGGGAAGAATGCCTGCACCTACCTGCACAGTGCTTCAGGTGACTGATGCAATGCCACCCCTCTGGTAGGGCAGTACTTCAAGGTTTGCTGGCATAGTGTTCACCACAGTGTGACTAGGGCTTAGGCAGAAATAGCATATTATATGTGTGCTTTCTTCCAGCAGTCCAGACAATGAATTAAAGATTTGGCGCCTGGTGACTGCTCACATGTCTCTGACACTACCATGCCCTCTCTCACGGACTCTGAGCAAGGAATGGGAGATAAAATGAAATTTATATCTTCTGGGCGTGTCCAGGAGATAATGGGAGCCTAGGGGATTGTGGAAGCCCAGGAGAGCTTGGAGAATGAAGTTAAATGAGTCCATGCCTGCCACTTTGAAGGTAAATAAAGGAGCACTACATGATTATATACAAAGCCAGGTTAGAACAAGCAAAATAGGAAAAACTGTGTAGAAAAGATGATCATAGCAAAGGGGTGTTACTCTGGCTTTCAGGGATTGCGTCTATGGGCTTTGGTACATGATTTTTTGCCAACCTGTGGCTGATTTGGTCTCTGTTGTGTCATGCATTGAAAATACTGTTCCTCCAACTTGAGTAAATATTAACCCAGGCTTATGCTTTGTTGTATTGCATATTCCAAGAGACTGTACCTTCCAAATCCTTCAGAGTTATCAGAGTTGTTCATGAATATACAAACTCCAAGGGTCTCTAATATGCAAAGCTTACACTTTGTTGAGAAAGTCAAGGGCTAGCATGTTCTTCTCACTGGGCTGTACTGTGTTTACAGGTCCATGCTCCCCAACTGTCCCAGACTTGAACAGAATCTGCCATACCCCAGATCCAGGACATGTCCCATGATCAAAGCAAATGGGCAGCCCCCAGGCCAACCAGTCCACCATAGAGGTGCATGGGGTTCTTGGACTGGCAGGGCTTGCCACCATCGTCAGGGTATTTTCCCTCCCACTAACCACTGTGACATTCTTTCTTCTCATCAATGCCAAGGCATTTTTAACTAAATACCGATGTCTATTAAAGCCTAGTCCAATATTATATGCAATGTTGCCATGTCCACTTTATGAAATGGTGTGCTGCATATACCGTATGTAATCTACATGTCAAAGTGTTCCTCTTTCTCAGGTTCTAAGATTGGGAGGTATGCAAGCTTACTGGGACCATCACACCAAAGCAGAAGTTCTGGAATCCTGCAACATCAACTGACAGTAAACCCATCTGTATGCTCCAGATAGGTAGTACAGTCTACCATTAATGTCTATGGGGTCAGTAAATACTGAGAGGTCTAGCTGCTGGGAGGCTTGTACAAATCTCAATAGAGTGAAGCAAGCCCAGTCTACATTTGGGGTCTTTTTACCAATCCTATAATGCAATGGAGCACCACCCAACTTTCTTAGATAACAGGAACACCTTTTTAGCACAAAGTATGCAAGTAAAGGACATAATCCCTACCACACCTTCAGATACACCGACCACAAAGAATGAATACCCGAAGAGTACCTGGCTAAACCCTCTTTTGCCTTTTTTTTTTTAACATTTCCTTTATTCCAGAGGTCTACCTGAACTACATCTGGCCTGTTACAATATTTTAACCAGCCCACTAGGGTCAGTGGCATACACTCAATGTACACTAATTGAGGATTGAGGTCAGCAGAGAATGCCTATGATCTCTGCTTCCATAGGGAGGGACTCTGATGAGGACCCTTATGTAAGGGAGACTCTGACAGGTACCCAGACATAATGGAAACCCCAGTGAGAATTTTTTTAGGCGCGATTATTTGTGAAGTATACAATGCAGTAGTAAAACAGTACTGTACATTTTTATAGAGGTCTATACATAAGAACAAAAAGAGGAACTGAGACGGAAAGAGAGACCGAGGGATTTGCTTCTCAATGGGGGTCAGTCCACGCATTGAGGAACAACAGGGAGCAATTGAATATACTTGTGATGGCATGGGGAGAAAGACAAACAGCATTTTTTTTTTGCAAATTCATCATCTTTTAACTATCATACATGTACATTTGGAAATATTATAAATTTAGGAGCTATGCTTGGCCACTCTTCCACATGTCAGGATTGTTGGTGACACAGGCAGACACAGTTTTTTTCACTGATCACAGCCAGAAGAATACAAGCAATATTTCAGGGTGTGTAGTTTAGGAGATGACATAATTAGCAAATTAGCCATCCTCCAGTCAATGGAAACCAACACAAAATTGTTAGCTGATTCAAGTATATCTGAACCTAAAAATAAAATAGAATGTTGCAGCTTGCATTAGCCCTCTGAATAGCAATTTGTGGTAAATTGGTCTTCAGGGGACATGTGACAGGTGGTGAGGAGGAGTTGTGTCACTTCCTCTTTGTCCATTTAAATCCCATAAACCCACTGTGCTACAATCACAAGCACGTGGTTGCAGGGATGTTATGGCATGGTCCCATTCAGGTGAATGGGTCACATTGGGCAGACGGTACTGCCCACCAGATACGACAGCGGGGATCATTTTTGCCACACACACAATGCAAAATATTGTGCCCATGGCATTTGTACACCCTTGTCTGCTGCCTTTGCAGCTTAAGGGGGAGTGGTTAGGGGAACGGTAAAAACACAACAGTGTATTTACTGCCCCCAACCGCAAACGTGTGAACAAGGCCTATCAGTCTTAAAATGTGGTGGTTGCATTATTTTTTTTCTTTTATGTTTTTTTCCTGTATCTTCACCTAGGGACTCTGTCAGTAACACACTCCTTGACTTAGAGTGATACTGTTCACTCACCCTACTGCCCTGGTACCCAACCTGTGGCCACATGTGACCCTTGGAGCTCTAGCACTAGTAATCTGTGCTTTGGTGATTACCTTAGACAGAGAAAGAAAAGTGGATAAATGATCTTTGTAATCAATCTTCCAGAAAGAAATGGTAAATGTGGCACAAAGATGGAATTGTTATGTATCAGGACTGCTGAAATTCTTTTCTCTCTTCTCACTTCACATCACTTCTCCTCTTCTCACTTTACATCACTTCTCTCCTATCCTCTTCTCACTTCACCTCTCCTCTTCTCACTTCACCTCTTCTCACTTCACCTCTCCTCTCCTCTTCTCACTTCACCTCTCCTCTCCTCTTCTTCTCACTTCACCTCTCCTCTTCTCACTTCACCTCTCCTCTCCTCTTCTCACTTCACCTCTCCTCTCCTTTCCTCTTTTTTTTTTCTTCTCTTCTCCTCTTCTCTTTTTTTCTTCTCTTCTCCTCTTCTCTTTTTTCTTCTCTTTTCCTCTTCTCTTTTTTTCTTCTCTTCTCCTCTTCTCTTTTTTTCTTCTCTTCTCTTCTCTTTTTTTCTTCTCTTCTCTTCTCTTTTTTTTCTCTTCCCTTCTCTTCTCTTTTTTTCTTCTACACTT